TCCTCCTGCCTCAGCCTCCCAAAGTGCTAGGATTACAGGCATTAGCCACCATGCCTGGCCTCTAGTCTATTTCTTTCGTTTTTTCTTTCTTTTTTTGAGACAGAGTCTTACTCTATCTCCCAAGCTGGAGTGCTGTGGCACAGTCTCAGCCCTCTACAACCTCTGCCTCCTGGGTTCAAGCAAATCTCCTGCTTTAGCCCAATCCGCCTGCGTTGGCCTCCCAAAGTGCTGGGATTACAGGCATGAGCCACTGCACCTGGCCTCTAGTGTATTTCTAATGGAGAACCAAATACATGAACCTGTGTTCAGCAGAATCATTCAACTTCAAGGGAGCAGCTTTCTGTGCATCACCTCCTTAGCTTGTTCTCCTGACCTTTAGCAAAACTCCTTCCTTTGAATACTCCTTGACCCTATCAGCTTCTGTTGGGACACATGTTTGTTGTTATTGTTGTTGAGACGGAGTCTTGCTCTGTCACTCATGCTGGAGTGCAGTGACTCATGCGACCTCTACCTCCCAGGTTCAAGTGATTCTCCTGCCTCTGCCTCTTGAGTAGCTGGGCTTATGGACTCATAGTACTACACCAGGCTAATTTTTGTATTTTCAGTAGAGATGGGGTTTCACCATGTTGACCAGGCTGGTCTTGAACTCCTGACCTCAAATGATCCACCTGCCTCGGCCTCCCAAAAGGGCTGGGATTACAGATGTGAGCCACCATGCCCGGCTGAGACACATGTTAATTGTACTGTGTTCTCTCATTTGCCTTTCTCTGTTAAATTCAGTCTTTTGAGAGGAGGAACTTGGTTTTATTTACCCTTTTTTTTTTACCTCTAAATTCTTCTTTTTTTTTTTTTTTTTTTTTTTTTTTTTTTTGAGATGGAGTTTCGCTTTTATAGCTTAAGCTGGAGGCTCACTGCAACCTTTGTTTCCAGTTTTCAAGCACTTCTCCTGCCTCAGCCTCCCGGGCAGCTGGAACTACAGGTGTGCACCACAATACTTCGCTAATTTTTTGTATGTTCAGTAGAGGTGGGGTTTCACCATGTTGGCCAGGCTGGTCTCAAACTCCTGACCTCAGGTGATCTGCCTGCCTTGGCCTCCCTAAGTGCTGGGATGACAGGGCCATCCTCCCACCTCAGCCCCCCTAGTAGTTGGGACTACAGGTGCAGAACAAAGCACAGCATCTGGCTCCCAAATTCTTAGTACATAGTAGGGCCAGTGGATACCTGGGTAAATGGATTTCATCAGTGTTAATCCCCTACTGAAGCTATATTAAGTGTTGTTCTCTTGTAGGACTGCCTTTTTTTTTTTTTTTTTTTTTTTTTTGACACAGGGTCCTGCTCTGTCGTCTAGGCTGGAGTGCTTTATATGCAGTCTCCACTCAGCTTCTCTCTGCCAGGCTCAAGTGATCCTCCCACATTAGCCTCCCCTGAGTAGCTGGGACCACAGGCTTGTACCACCTTGCCTGGCTAGTTTTTGTATTTTTGTAGAGACAGTTTCAGAGACAGGGTGGTCTCGAACTCCTGAGCTCAAAGTGTTGGGATTACAGGAGTGAGCCACCACACACAGTCAGGATTAACTGCTTTTTTTTTTTTTTTTTTTTTTGAGACAGTCTTGCTCTGTTGCCCAGGCTGGAGTGCAGTGGCGTGATCTCGGCTCACTGCAAACTCTGCCTCCTGGGTTGACACCATTCTTCTGCCTCAGCCTCCCGAATAGCTGCGACTACAGGCACGTGCCACCACGCCCGGCTAATTTTTTGTATCTTTAGTAGAAAGATGGGGTTTCACTCTGTTAGCCAGGATGGTCTCAATCTCCTGACCTCGTGATCTGCCCACTTCGGCCTCCCAAAGTGCTGGGATTACAGGCGTGAACCACCATGCACTAGCTAACTGCTTTTTTTTTTTTTTTTTTTTTTTTTGAGACGGAGTCTTGCTCCGCCGCCCAGGCTGGAGTGCAGTGGCCGGATCTCAGCTCCTCACAGCTCCGCCTCCCGGGTTACGCCATTCTCCTGCCTCAGCCTCCTGAGTAGCTGGGACTACAGGCGCCCGCCGCCTCGCCCGGCTAGTTTTTGTATTTTTAGTAGAGACGGGTTTCACCGTGTTAGCCAAGATGGTCTCGATCTCACCAGCCTCGTGATCCGCCCGTCTCGGCCTCCCAAAGTGCTGGGATTACAGGCTTGAGCCACCGCGCCCGGCCTGGCTAACTGCTTTTAACTATACAAATAATAAAATACTCTTGGATGGAGTCTTAAGGTGGAACTGCCTGTGCTCTTAATAGTGTCTGAAATTTATATGGTACTTACTAGGCTTGTCACAGGATCTCTATGGCTCTTCAAATAGCAGGGGCTGGGTGTGATGGCTCACACCTGTAATCCCAACACTTTGGGAGGCCAAGGTGGGAGAATTGCTAGAGGCTAGAAGTTCAAGACAAACCTCGAAAACATGGTGATACCCCCCCATCTCTACAGAAAATTTAAAAATTGGCTGTGTGTGGTGGCAACTGCCTGTAGTCCCAGCTGCTCAGGAGGCTGAAGTGGGAGGATCACTTGAGCCTGGGAGGTAGAAGCTACAGTGAGCTGTGGTTGTGCCATGCACTCCAGCCAGGATGACAGCAAGACCCTGTCTCAAAAAAAGAGAAAGAAATAGAAGCAGGGATGTACTTGGAGAGGGTATGTATGTTCATGTGGTTATATTGAATACTTGGTGCTGGTGATAATTTTGAATGCTTCACATGCATTGTGCCATTTCTCATACACCTAACAGATGCAGGGTTCATCCTAAGGCTGATGAGCTCATTATGGTGAGAAGTCTAGAACCAAACTCCCTGAGTTCAAGTCTAACCTCTTCTTTGGCTCCTCATTTGTAAAATGGAAATAATAACAGCATCTACCTTACAGGGTTGCTGTGACTATTAAATAATCTAATATCTCCAAACACTGTAAACTATGCCTAGCATAGATAATAGAAATGTGATCTCTTTATTACTCCTGTTCTTACTATTCTTGCTAGCTATTTATTTTATTTTATTTTATTTTGTTTTTTTTTTGAGACGAGTGTCTCTGTCGCCCAGGCTGGAGTGCAGTGGTGTGATCTCAGCTCACTGCAAGCTCTGCCTCCCGGGTTCATGCCATTCTCCTGCCTCAGCCTCCTGAGTAGCTGGGATTACAGGCACCCACCACCACACCTGGCTAATTTTTTGCATTTTTTTAGTAGAGACGGGGTTTCACCGTGTTAGCCAGGATGATCTTGATCTCCTGACCTCGTGATCTGCCTGCCTCGGCCTCCCAGAGTGCTGGGATTACAGGTCTGAGCCACTGTGCCCGGCCTCTTATTTATTTATGTTTTGAGACAGAGTCTTGTTCTGTTGTCAGGCTGGAATGTAACAGTGCAGTCATAGCTCCCTGCAGCTTCTAACTCCTGGGCTCAAGTAATGCTTCTGCCTCAGCCTCTTGAGTATCTGGGACCCCAGGTGTGTGCCACCATGCCCAGCTAATTTTTTGTCTTTTTAGTAGAGACAGGGTTTTGATATGTTGGACAGGCAGGTCTCCAAGTGATCTGCCTGCCTTGGCCTCCCAAAGTGCTGGGATTACAGTTCTGAGCCACCACTCCTGGTAGATTTATTATTTTTAACTTGGCAAGTCTGTAAGCCCTTTTTGTTCCTTTTTTTCCAAGGGCCAGAGGTAGAGGCCTTTGTCATTTTTCTGTGTGTCAGGGAAGTGTGCAGGATGTATAAGCCATAGATTAGGAGTGGGAGGAAGAGTGTGTGGTGGTTGTGACAAGGGTCAAGGAAGGCAGCTTCGAACTTACTTGAGATTATAAAATAGAATTTAAACCAGGTATCTCTGTGTAATCGAAAGGTTTCTGTAAAACAGAGATGAAGTGTATGTGTGTGTATATACTTGTCATTTGAAAAGACATTCAGAATAGTAACTTTTAGGACCAGTACAGACTACAAAAATTACAGCATGATAGAACCTTCTTAACTACTAAGAATATAGAGAGGAAAATAAGGCCTGGCATGGTGGCTCACTCCTGTAATCCCAGCACTTTGGGAGGCTGAGGCAGGTGGATCACCTGAGGCCAGGAGTTTGGGACCAGCCTGGCCAATATGACAAAATCCTGTTTCAACTAAAAACACAAAATTTATCTGGTGTAATTATTTACATCTGTAATCTCAGCTAGTCGGAAGGCAGGTCAGAGAATCACTTGAACACACCGGAGGCAGGGGTTGCAGTAGACTGAGATTAGCCACTGCACTCCACCGAGTGACAGAGCAGATTCTGTCTCAAAAAAAAAAAAAAAAAAGTCTGGGCTTCGTGGCTCCCACACCTGTAATCCCAGCATGGAAAGGCAGGTGAATCACGAAGATCAGAAGATCAAATCCTATTAACAAGGTGAAATTAAAATCCTCTACTAAAAAAATAGAGAAAAAATTAGCGAGCATGGTGGCATGTGCCTGTAGTCCCAGCTACTCAGGAGGCTGAGCAGGAAAGTATGAACTTGGGAGGCAGAGGTTGCGGTGAACTGAGATACCACCACTGCACTCCCAGACTGGGCAGCAGAGCAAGACTCCGTCTCAAAAAAAAAAAAGTAGGGGCCCAGGTGTGGTAGCTTATGCCTGTAATCCCCAGCACTTTGGGAGGCTGGTGCGTGGGTCACCCAATGTCAGGAGTTCAAGACCAACTTGGCCAACATGGTGAAAACCCTTCTCTACTAAAAATACAAAAAAAAATTACCCGGGCATGGTGGTGGGTGCCTGTAACCCCAGCTACTCGGGAGGCTGAAGCAGGAGAATCACTTGAACCAGGAGGCAGAGATTGCAGTGAGCTGAGATCAACGCTATTGCACTCCAGCCATAGGCAACAAGAGCGAAACTTGTCTCAAAAAAAAAAAAAAAAAAGAAAAGGAAAATAACTTATTGTAGAGAGAAGTGGTTTATTAAAGAGTTTGACAGGCACTGGCTTAGAGTAAGATTTTTCTCTTATATTAATTTTCTTTCTCTCTTAGTATCAAGCCACCAATGGAGGCTCTGTCTCAACATAACCTGCCTACAGCAGAAGATAACCTGGAATATGTACGGACTCTGTATGATTTTCCTGGAAATGATGCGAACCTGCCGTTTAAAAAGGGTGAGATCCTAAAGTGATAATAGAGAAGCCTGAAGAACAGTGGTGGGTACGGAACAAGGATGGCCGGGTTGGGATGATTCCTGTCCCTTATGTTGAAAAGCTTGTGAGATCCTCACCACACGGAAAGCATGGAAATAGGAATTCCAACAGTTATGGGATCCCAGAACCTGCTCATGCACATCGCTCAACCTCCCAGACCACAACTCCTCTACCTGCAGTTTCCGGTTCTCCTGGGCAGCAGTCACCTGCCATCCACACAGAATGGACCTGTCTTTGTAAGCAATCCAGAAAAAGAGTACCCTGTGCTTATGACAAGACTGCCTTGGCATTAGAGGTAAAATCTGTTCAGACTAGCTTTTTGGGTCCTTTGACTTTTAGTTTTAGTTTCATAATAGATTTGCTTGTATTCATGGAATTAGGCACTAGATGATTTTGGAATCGCACTGTTAGCATTTCATGTTTTAAATTTTTTTTAGAGACAAGGTCTCTGTTAAAAAGAAGTTGTTGCCCAGGCTGATCTCGACATCCTGGCCTCAAGCAAATCCTCCTACCTCAACCTCCCATAGTACTGGGGTGACAGATACGAGCCACCGTACCCGGCCTGTTATTAGTGTTTCACAGCTTGTTTTGTTCTTTCCTATTCCTTGTTTGTACATTCTCAGCCTCCTTGCTCTTTTTTTGTTTAAAGCCTATGAATTTAGTTTTGCAGTCATTGGTTTTTCTTCCAGTAAGGAAAGATAATAATTAAGGAAGACCCATGACCTACAGGCAAAATCAGCATACAGATATATAGCTACTTGTATGGTTCTGTATTTCTAACATTAGAATCAGTTGAAATACGAAAATGTCTTAAAATTTCTCTTGAACTTGGTAGAGGAATTAATTTTTTTTTGAGACAGAGTCTTGCTCTGTCACCCAGCCTGGAGTGCAGTGGCGCGATCTCTGCTCACTGCAAGCTCCGCCTCCCGGGTTCACGCCATCTCCTACCTCAGTCTCCCGAGTAGCTGGGACTACAGGCACCTGCCATCATGCCCAGCTAATTTTTGTATTTTTAGTAGAGACGGAGTTTCACTGTATTAGCCAGGATGGTCTCGATCTCCTGACCTCGTGATCCACCTGTCTCGGCCTCCCAAAGTGCTGAGATTACAGGCGTGAGCCACCGTGACCAGGAATGATTTTTTTGAGATGGAGTCTCGCTTTGTCACCCAGGCTCCAGCACATTGGCATGATCTTGGCTCATTGCAACCTCCACCTCGGGTTCAAATGATTATCCTCCTCAGCCTCCCGAGTAGCTGGGATTACAGAGTGCCTGCCAGCATGCCCATGTAATTTTGTATTTTTAGTAGAGATGGGGTTTCAACATGTTGGCCAGGCTGGTCTTGAACTCCTGACCTCAGGCGATCTGCCTGCCTCGCCTCCCAAGTGCTGGGATTACAGACATATATGACCACACCCAGCCATGGGGAATGATTTTAAAATACATCAGCCACTTGCTTGACACAGGTTTGTAAATTAGATAGCATGAAATAGAACTTGAACATTTTAATTACCAAGTCATTTTCTTTTCTTTTCTTTTTTTTTTTTTTTTTTGAGACAGAGTCTTGCTCTGTTGCCTTGTTACTAAGCTGGAGTGCAGTAGTGATCTTCGCTCACTGCAACCTCTGCCTCCTGAGTTCAAGAGATTTTCCTGCCTCAGCCTCCCGAGTAGCTGGGACTACAGGCACGCACCACAATGCCCAGCTAATTTTTGTATTTTTAGTAGAGATGGGGTTTCACAATGTTGGCCAGGCTGGTCTCGAATTCCTGACCTCAGGTGATCCGCCCGCCTCAGCTGCCCGAGTGCTGGATGACAGACGTGAGCCTCGCACTCCAGCCATGTCATTTTCTTCTAATAAACATTACAAAGACTCTTTCTCAGCTGGGCACAGTGGCTCATGCCTGTAATCCCAGCACATTGGGAGAGCGAAGCTGGTGGATAACTTGAGGTCTGGAGTTTGAGACCAGCTGCGTATTTATGATGAAACCCTATCTCTACCAAAAAATACAAAAATTAGCCAGACGTGGTGGGCACACGCCTGTAGCCTCAGCTACTCAGGAGACTCAGGTGGGCAATTGCTTGAACTGGGGGTGGGGTTGCAGTGAGCGAGATCATGCCACTGCATTTAAGCCTGGGCAATAGGGTGAGACCCTATCTCAAAAAAAGGGGAGAATGTTAAGAGAGACCCCAAATTGCAGTTCAGAAGGATGAAGTAGGGGACCCTGTTGCTTCAAATAAAACAAATCCTGACTCACCAAACAACCTGCCCACAGATAAAAGTTGTCTAGAATTGGTTTGTCATAGGTGGGTCCTCAGTGTTTTTGTTTTTGTTTTTGTTTTGTTTGTTTTGTTTTGAGATGGAGTTTCACTCTTGTTGCCCAGGCTGGAGTGCAATGGCACGATCTTGGCTCACCGCAGCCTCCGCCTCCTGGATTCAAGCGTTCTCTGCCTTAGCCTCCAGAGTAGCTGGGATTACAGGCATGCGCCACCATGCCTTCATTTTTGTGTTTTTAGTCGAGACGGGTTTCTCCATGTTGGTCAGGCTGGTCTCGAACTCCTGACATCAGGTGATCTGCCCGCCTCGGCCTCCCAAAGTGCTGGGATTACAGGTGTGAGCCACCATGCCTGGCCCTCAATTTTCTTTGGACCAGTAGTAGTATCTGAATGAACTGCACCTGAAGGTTTGTTTCAATGTTTGATTTTTGTCTCCCTTTCATGTTGGCTATAAGGAAAGAAGGAGCATCTGAGGCTGTGGTGGGGGTCTGGGACTGAGAGTCTCCAGGTCTGAGGAAGCTGCCTCACAGATAGGAGTGCTGGCTGAGCCAGGCCTTCAGCTTTCTTTCCTTCTTTCTTTCTTTTTTTTTTTTTTTTTTTGAGATGGAGTCTCATTTTGTTGCCCTAAGCTGGAGTACACTTGGTATAATCTGGCTCACTGCAACCTCTGTCTCCTGGGCTCAAGCGATTCTTCTGCCTCAGCTTCTCAAGTAGCTGGGATTACAGGTGCCGCTACCAAACCCGGCTGTTTTACTTAGAGATGGGGTTTCACTGTGTTCGCCAGGCTGGTCTTGAACTCCTGGCCTCTGATCCTCTGCCCGCCTCAGCCTCCCAAAGTGCTCGGATTACAGGCGTGAGCCACTGCCTGGAGTGGGCCTTTCCCAGCTTTCTCACCCCCACACAGACCGGCCTAGGCACAGGTGCATGCCTCTGGCCTGGTCTACACCTCAGCACCTTAGAATAACATGGGATGCTCTGGGCTGTTAATATGTTGTGTGTGCATTGTGTTTTCCAGCCTTTTGAGGCGTTTCACATCCGTCATAGCATAGGATTGGGGCTAGGAGTCAGGCGGGTATGGCTTTCGTGTGTATTTGGCAGCTGCTCGTTGAGGAACATGAAGGTGGAGGCTCCCAATCAGAATTTTGGAGTACCTGCCTGTTGACCTCTGGCTCTAGGATTGTATGTTTTAGAAACCTGTATCTAGTGTGCGTGCGTGTGTGTGCTCATTGGGCAATTTCAGGAGGTTGTAAGGAGGAACATTAGGTATTACAGAAGGGATCATTTAGAAGCTTGGTGTGTGGGTGGATGGTAGGTGCCGAGACAGGTCGGAGTGTGTAGGAGGAAGGAAGCCTAGTTAATGATTGTGTATTTTAAGATAACCTACATACTTTGCCATTACATAGCTCCTAGTCTCTCTGGCCCCAGAGAGGTTCTCACACCTGAGCCTCATATTGACACTAACCCAGCCAGCTGAGCTTCAGCAAATGGTTTTTTTGGTGCTTGAATGAGAAAGTGTAAATAGGACCTGAAATGACCTTTACAATTCCATTTAATGGTATTTCGCTTTCTGTATATTTAAATGAAACTTTAGGTTATAGCATAAGTTAAAAAATTTTTCCCGAGATCGAGTCCTCTGTCACTCAAACTGGAGTGCAGTGGTGTGATCTCGCTGCAGCCTCCGCCTCATGGGTTTAAGCAATTCTCATGCCTCAGCCTCCTGAGTAGCTAGGGTAAATATTTACAGTTATTTACCTTCTAAAACTATTATTAGGATAGTGGTGCCTGTCTGATCTTGTTAAAAACAACTCTTGGGACTTTTGCAATTAGGTTACTAGGAAAAGTATTAAAATTAAAATGAGAAACAGACAACTAGGACAAAATGTGCCAATAATTGAAGCTTCATTGTCCCCTAGATAGTATTACAGAGAACAATGATGGCTTAGGTGACTTTTTATACATAAATTATTTTACAAGTTTTTTTTTAAATAAAACTTGATTTTCAAAAGTATTCCTGTAAGTAAGAGGTATATTTCAAAACCAGTCTGTGTTTAGCTATTTTCTTTTCTTGCTGACTTTTCTGTAAAGAGAGGTTGATCCTGAGATTTGATTTGAAGGGGAATACTTGGTATCTGTAAGGTGAGTAGAGCTTGTGTGATGAGACTAATGTCACTGAATAGCTGTAGATAGGTGAGCATGCTGGGCAAAGGGCAAAAGTGGCAAAGACAGCCAGGGCAGTAGGCTGTTGCCATATCCTGAAGGAGCTAAAGCTGAGGAAATTAACAGTTTCTTGCATTGCCTTCATTTGAGTCATGAAACAACCAGTTTCTCACAACTGACAAGGTCAGGTTTGCAGGCAATTTCTTTTTATTTATTAATTTTGAAATTTAGAGCAAATGTAGCTCATGTAATAATATCATTCCTCATTCATTTGTTCAGTGGCATGCTTTTCTGACTAAAAAGAAAGGGAAGAAATATCTTAGCAACTTTACAAAATTGTGTAACCCTGGTACACACACCCCTGAATATTTGTATGAGAATTTGTATTCAAATGTCTAAATGCAGCCCTCAGCTGCTTTTCCCCATGGTATGGTATAAGAAAACAGTTGGTGACACAAGCTGGGGATCTGTGGGAACTGAAGTCAGTGGTACAGATCGTGTGGAAAAATAGTTTCCCAGGCTTGCAAGTGAGACTTAAAGTGATTTGGGATGGAATTGATAGGAAATCAAGCAGAAGGTTGTATTGATACAGCAGGTCATTTAGTCTAATCATTTTCCCAGTGCTTTTAGCCCTCTTCAGAGTCTAACTCCATGGCCCTCCAGTCTCAATTTGGACACCTTCAAAAAAACATCACTTCAACAAAAGTTCATTGAGTGCCTATTATGTGACAGGCTGGAACCCGGGATACAGTAGTGAACAAAACAAAGATGTCTTTCCTGTGACGTGTGGAACATAACATTTCCAGCACTGTGGTGCTGTGTCTCATGTTGTATGGCTCTGGTAGCTGACAAGTCTTGTGTTCTGG